TCTTTTTTTTAAAGACGGTAGAGTTGTGAGTTCTTGGGTGTTTTTTTCATTATATATAAGGGTATACTTGTAAAATATATACCTTTTTTTCTTTTCTTCCAAGCTTTTTTTTAAAACTGATTTGAAATCCTTCCCAATAAAATATACGAATTTCAATCCAGAATAGATAAATTACGCCAACGTGAGCATAACTTAGTAATAACTTACACCAAAACGAGTATAACTCAACACTAATTGACACATCTCTTTAACCAAAAGGTCATGAGTTCGAAACCTCATCCACATGTTGTACTAAGAAAAAAAGTTCAACTTACCCACCTATTTTCAATCACGTCGTGTTTAGAGTATCTAATACAATTAAAGTTTGAAAAGTAAAATAATGAAAAACAACTTACTAGAATTTCCAACTTACTAGAAGAATGCACTAGCCAAACTGCTTTGAAAGTTTCAGCTTCACAATGAGTGTTATTAATTCCTAAAATCTCTACAACCTCATTTGGTTTCAACCTCTCATGCATTTCTCAACATCTTGTTACCTCCATGGCCTGTAAAAAGAGCTTCCAAGCATCATTTCAAGACATCTCATTTTCATGCTTTAGTTCTTTACTTTGTTATCAACTTTAGTTTTTAAAATTTGTTCTTCAATTAATTTTTCTGCAATTTTCCTTTGTTTATTTATTGCAATTCAATTGGTTCCATTTTGTACTTTCTTTCCATTTCTAATTAAAATGCATTCTTTTGTTATATTTTCTTGTGTTTTCATTTCTTTCATTTCTATGAGTAGCTAAATTATTTATTCAACCCTCCTACGAATGGTTTAGTTCATCTATTTTAAATTACATCTATCAGTGAGCACAACGTTTTATGCTGCTTTTGCTTATCTTGATCAATATAATTATTCTAGTTGATTTTCTTGTTGGCCACTTGTTAAATCACACTAGTTTGAATTTAATTCTGAAAAGGTTAGAGTCAAACGGACTTCATCAAGGTAAAACGGGAAGTTACTTAGAAATAAGAACTAAAACAAGATCGTAGACATAGACTCTCTCACCCATTAAACGTAAGTTGCGATTTGATTTATTTAGAATTCTAGAGTTGCATAGACATATGTAAACGTTAGCCTAAGCTTTTAAACAAACCAAAAGCAGTATGGAATAGGAGTTGAACCAGTTTGCATAAATCAAGCATAATTACGGGCACATTTGGTAGGTGTAATTCATCTTTTTCGAACTAAACAGTAGTATGAGGGTTGACTTTTTAATCTTTGTGTTTTTAATTCGTATTCCCAACAATTGCACCAATTTTTATCTCAAACTCGATTGCTCACTCAAGCAATTTACAAAATCAATTTAAAAAAAAAAACTAGTCCCTGTGGAGACGAACTTGGAATATTTCCAAATTATTACTTGTGATAGTGTGCACTTGCACTTACGCTCTAGCTATTAAGCTGAGGCTCAACAAAAGCCGACCCGATTTCCAGAAATTGTGCTCGGCAAGGAGAAGTCACTTAGTCGACACGAGCAGATAGAAGAAAGCAACATAAGAGAGAACGACAAGACTTGAAGTACTTGAGAAAGTTTTCATTTGATACCTTAAACAAAACATCCTCAAGTGGGGGCCAGGTGAGTAACAATGGTTAAGGAACTTGAACTGGGAAAGACCTARAAACAGGCCGATAAGCTAGAAGCCAGTCAGTGAAACCGGGGAAAAGAATCCCAAAGGTATTGAAAAAGACATGCGTACAGGCCTAGCAAGATTTAAACAGAAAGCAGGCAAGTCAAACTAATCAAGGAAACCCAGGGTATAAAACCATTTGGCAGAAACCAAAATAGGTTAGGGTGTTTGATTAAACTCAGGGTAAAAAACAAGTAGAAGCCAAATAGGTTAGAAACCCAAGGGTTCCGACTAAACTCAAGGTATAAAATCATTGGCGAAAGCCAAATAGGTTTGAAACTTAAGAGTAAATCCTGGGGTATAAAACCATGGGCAAAAGCCAAACAGGTTAAAAACCTAAGGGTGGTATCGCTAGCCCAACTAAAAGTTAGATCCCAAGGCTAAAATCTAACGGTTAAAACTAACTGTATAGCAGAACCCATGAGACATGATTGCAGCCAACTATGTCAAAATAGTATGGAGCTAGGAAGACCAACCCATGAAACGACAATTGACAACGACAAAAGGGTATCGATTGGACTCAGGGTATAAAACCATTGGCAAAAGCAAAATAGGTTGGAAACTCAAGAGTAAACCCTAGAGTATAAAACCATGGGCAAAACCCAAACAGGTTAGAAACTTAAGGGTGGTACAGCTAGCCCAACTAAAAGTTAAATCCCAAGGCAAAAAACTAAATAGTTAAAACTAACTGTAAGGTAGAGCTCAAGAGACTTGACTACATCTAACTACGACAAAAGGGTATGGGGGCTAAGAAAATCAGCCCGTGAGATGACAATCAACAAACGACGAGAGAATAAGGGGACTATTATGCAATACAGTCATTCATAGAACATTCAATTGACAAAGTACTCTCAATATAGAAGACCTAACATTTTGTCTTCCATGTTGAGAGTGGGGGCTATGTTATAGGAAGCAAAACGGTCCAAACAACGAATGAGAATCGGACCGAGAAGAAGAAGGAAGAGCCCTGAAACTACTACAACTGGGGTCGGCCTATGGTTCTGGGTCGGCCCACTCAACGGTTGACCTGACCTCGGCGCCGAGGTGTTCTTGGCTACGGGTCGAGAACACCTCTCGACTTCTCTCTCAGTACCTGTCTCGGCCGACTTGTGTTTGTAGAACCTCGACCTTGTTCTGATGTTGGAGCCCGCAATGAAGCATCTCATGGCCCAAAAAGCCCGATGATGTGAATGACCTAGGTTCGAATAATGAAACCCTAAGAGGAAAGAAAAACTATAAATAAGGAAAGGGGTCACACCTAAAAGGTACGCCTGAAACCCCCTACTCTCCTCTTAATCTCCTCACTCGACTTCCTCGATGCTAACTTAAGCATCGGAGCCCGTGTGACCAAAGCCACACCGGTTTTAGTGCTATTATGTTTTATAGGTCACGTCGATCTTTTCCATATTTAGAAGATTGGTGCAAATTTGACGAGATTTCAGGAGACCAAATTTCTGCATCAACAGTCATAAAAAAAAATTAATAGCTTTATACAAAACGCTATTGTAAACTTTTTATAGCACCCAAAAAATGATACAAAAACTAATAAACTATAACACCTCATATTCTTATAAGGTAATTTTAATAGTTTAAATTACAGACTAAACATTCAATTTTGAATTTTATGGATTGATAGACTTTTTTGAATTTAGTGTCATTTTTCTTTAGAAGGGTTCTTATCACTTATACAAAATAGTGAGTAATTAGATAAATTTGGTTTAAATGAAAGAGTAAAATTAAATAAGAAATTAGAAAGGAAAAATGTTTTAATTAAAAAAAAGGATAAGGAAAAGAAAATAGAAAATGATAATAATAGTTTAAAAAAAAAGAAAAAAAAGAAGTAAAATTTGGCTAGAAATACGCCAGCGTTGGTTGAAAGAAAAAAATAAATTAATAAAGTTTCAAATCACGTAAGCTATCTCTCGTCTTGCCACCCAACATTTATGGCCTATTTGATATTGTTATCATTTTTTTAGAACTAGAAACGGGAATATGTTTGATAACCATTTCTATTTCTTGTTTCTTGAATAAAAGAAATAGAAACAAAAATATGTTTTATAACTATTTCGTGTTTCTATTTTTTAATTTTTTTCGTACAACAACTTGTGAGAGTCGAGATTCGAACCCACAACCTCTTAAACGAGAATATATATTTTTAGTTAAAATAAAATTTAGTAAATATAATATAAAAAATATAACATATACTCGGAGAATATAATTTATCCAAAAAAATATAATTAACAATATGAATTTATTTCCTATAAAAATATAAATTATTAGCTTTAAATAAAAAAATAAAATTTCAAAACATTTTTAGTTTGAAAATACAATTTTTTGTTTTAAGAAAATATAATAGCTTTAAATAAAAATAGTTTTTCAAAAGGTTTTAAATTCAAAAATTAAAAAAAAGAAGGAAAAATATAAATTATTAGCTGTTATAGGTAGCTTCCGAATAGGACATGTGTTCACCTCTTAACGGAAGCAGGCCCACTAGGAACCAGTTCTCAGTGGGGATATCGCCGAGCAAAAGGCGTGTCCGCTCACGACGAGACGAACACCCCTAGCAGTTACGCCCCATACGTATACACAGTTAGCGGCGTGTGTTGTTGGTACGATGGGCGCATCCAACGGCCCTGGGCGACATGCTCAGGTGACGCAAGTAGCGGGGCCACTCTGCACTGTCGAGGATGCGCACCTCTCTGTCCTACCGTACCGCGCACGATGTCTCGCCACTCCCAACCATTGTCCTTCTTGGTCGGCCCTTCAAGACTATAAAAGGAAGGGTGATCCTCCACACCACGTAAGTGAAACACCTGTCACTGAACCCTATGGTGTCTTATTCCTATCTTTACTCTGATTATTGACTTGAGTGTCGGAGTATATTAGACGGGACACCGCACCGGCGTCGAGTTTTTTGGTTTCAAGTCCGATGGATCCATCTCTGGACTGCTCGTCCGGAGATGACGTGGCCCTTAACCAAAATTCGCCATCAACAGTGCCATCTGTGGGGACAACGTTTTCAAGCCTCAAACGAAAACTAGTTCTCCACACTAAGACGTTACCGGGATGACTTCTGACAAAGAGTCGTCTTACGAGAACCACATCGACGGAGAGCGTCGATATGACAAAGCCGTCGACAAGCTTGTCCTAACTCC